CCCATTAATACACATGCCTACAAGGGTAACACAAAATACAGGAGGAAAGCTTGCTGTATAGTTCTCTCATATAATCTCCCAGTGTCTAGAGATCTGTGGCTCAAGGATTTCCTGAATCAGAAATAATGTATTGTTTAATGGCCATGACACGTTTTTATTCTGTCTGCCCAATCATTTTAAGCTCGTGTAAACCTTTAACATTCACTTCAGATTCACATGGTTTCTGTAAAAACCAAAACCAACCAAACAAAACCTCCTAATGCTTCTGAACCTCTTAATGCTTCTGAACATCCTAATGCTTCTGAGCCTCCTACCCACTACCTTTGCAATCAGTTAGCTGCTTGATTTCTTAGCACTCCCTAGCTTTTGCATTATGTGACCCTGAGCAGTTGCTCATCCTTGCTGTGTTATTTTACTGCATTTACAAATCTCTACTGTGGTCCCATTCAATCATCTCTTTTCCAGTCTGAAGATGCTGAGTCTATTCAGTCAGTCTAACTGAGAAGCTCTTCAGGAAGCTCTCTTCTTAATCACTCCATCTTCCTCTCTGTATCTTTTCTAGCTTTATTAGAGGTTTTTCCTGAGGAGGGGGAGGAAAGGAGAAACCCACCAGAACTGCACACAGCACTTCAGTTGGAGGTAACACTGTGGATATGTAACAGTGTACAGGCATGCTGTATGGGCTCTTTTCACTTTTAACACCCTCCTCCCCACCCAGGTTCTTTTGTACCATTGAGCAATTTGTAAAGCTATCCATTATGACTTAGGGATTTCCTTCCAATGCTATCCTAGCCAGTCTGGATGTAGAAGAAACCATCCCACACGTGGAAGAAATGAAAAATGCTAACTCTCACAGCAACTCTTGATCCCATCTGCTATCCTACCACCCATCCACTAAAAGCAACAGGTTCTTCTGAAGTCTTTACTGTCCCAAACAATTTAGCATTGCCCACAAACCTCACTAACTCAACAGTCACCTGTTTTCCAGATCATCAGTCCAGATTCTATGGAATTTCACTGGCATCTCCTTCTGTACTCTCTAGATTATATTTGCTATCATTTGAAGAGCTACTCTGCTCTGTAAAGACTTTTCCTTATCAATGACAGCTCAGATTCTAAAAAAGCTTCTGGTGAAGGATCCTGCTGACTTTGCTTTGAAAATCCAACTTTCTGCTTTGTCCACTTACCAAAAAGGCTTCTGGTGGAAGATCTTGCTAATCTTCCCCTGAAAATCAAACCATCTGCTTTGCCCACTTACCAACTTCCTTAAAAAAGCTCCAAAGGATCTTCAAGGCAAGCCATTTTGCCAAAAAGCATTGTTACCCTACATTGACCTGTGCAGAACACATATTTTTTGTCCTTCACAACTTCTACCTTGGTTCATCTTGTGCATGTAGATGTGGCACTCAGGAACGTGGTTCAGTGATGGACTTGGCAGTACTGGGTTAACAGCTGAACTTGATAATCTTAAAGTTCTCCTACAACCTAAATGATTCTTTGATTCTACCCTCTTGTCCAACACACTTAACAAGACTGCATTTTCCCAAGACTTCATGGAGAACAAAGCAAACTCCCTCATTCACATCCAAGCACAAGCCCACACTTTCTCAGCACACCAAAATTTCAGCTGCTAAAACATTAAAAAAAAAAAAAATGGAAAGGAACTTTCCAAAGGACTCACATATCTGCACTGGAAAACACTGGCTACACCAAACTTCTCCTCTGTGAAAGGCATCAGTGTTGAGGCTTCCTACACCAGGCACATAATTTAGCTCAATGTAAATACTGCCAAAGAAAACTTAACTGTGATCTCACACCTTCCTCCAACCCTGAGAGAATAAAAGAAGGCATTTGCAATGTTTTATAGGGATTCCACATGACTTATTAGCAAGGACTTGGCCATTTCATATTACTATAGACAAGTAGAGGACTCTCTCCTTCAGCAAACAGATGCAAGATTCTGAAATCTTAACATGCAGCTTGGTAGAATAAAAGGTTTTCCTACATGTAAAAAAGAAAAATCAGTGTCTCAGTGCTTTCCACTCCCTTTTGCTTTTCTATTACGAAGGTAAAAAGAAATTATTAATAAATGCATCTGTATTCAACATGTAATAACACACAAATAGAAGCTGCTGTGGATCTTGAAAGGATTTGAGGAATATTTTTGCATAACCAGTAGCTCTGAACTCCAAAAATACCAAAAGCCCCGTTCAATTCCCAGCCCTGCAATAAAGAACCTGAGATCCCTCTACCTTTGCAAACCTTAGACAATGCTCTCTGAGACACCCAGCCCTACCAACCATGAGCCAGGGACTCAAAAACAGCACCCCAGGCACCTCTGACACTGCAAGTGCTTCACATAGTAAGACTCTCTGAGATCATCAGACCACACAATCCAAGTCTCAGACCAAGGCATTTCATTCCATTTTGGTGGAAATTTACTAACATAATCAAAAGTCACTGAAAGGTGTAACTTACCAGAAAATGTTGCTTTCAGAAAGTACGTGGTTTCTGACTTAAAAGAAATATACATTCCTTTGTGAATTCTCCACCCTTTGGGGAGATACAAAGTCCTTACACAGTAAATTACTTTTCTCCCCATTCCAGAGGATTTTAATCAGTCATAAACACATTAATAGACAAGCACACATGATGAAGACACTTAGTGCAGCAAAAATATGTCTTTTCAGATTAGCTTGCATCACTCAGTTTATATTGAGGAAAAAAAATTATTCACAACAGAAGCATCTGATTTGGAACGTAAAGAACTGTACCAGCATAAGTCATCCATATCCCAATTTCCTTAAAATATTTCTGGTGTGAAACAGGGCCTGCACTCACAAAATCACAGACTCAAGACTTACAATCACATCTCAAGACTTACACAAAAAAGAAAGGCTACACCTTAAAGAAATTTTAAGTACTGTGCAATTCATCCATAAGGGTAAAAATGCACCTCAGTATGGTGCATTTCTCTCTTTTCCTTTAAATTTATTTTTTAAAGATAAAGGCATCCCAAAATGAGCTCTAGCTTGCACGCCATCTGTCCTGCATAATTTTGGGTGGGAGGGAAAAAGCAGAACAAGCCCTTAAAAATGTAGTCTCCACATCAAAACAGGAAAAAGCGAAGGATACAAGAGCTGCTCATATGCTGTAAAAAAAGTAATGCCAGCACCCTGAGTTGGAAGACAGGAATGGCATCCGACAACTCCTAGCCTACAGTAAACTCCCAAACTCCAAATTGCAGTGCTGCATTCTCCACCACAGAAAGAATTCCTCTTTCTTCCCCACAGCTATACAATCCATCAGAGCCACTTGTTTCACTGCTAAGCTCTTTCCCATGCTTTTGCTTATGCTTCTTTCTCCTTATAAACATTCCCTGTACAGATTTTCCATTTCTCCCCTTTCAAACACTAAACCTCCCCACACCCATTTTCCTTCTCTCCCCTTTTAAACACTGTTGTTATCTTGATGTAGCCTTTTTTCACGTTTTATCCTCCAGAGCATTCACACAATCACCCCAACCCATCTACTGACAGGAGACCCTAGACCCTTCATGTCCAGCCTGTTTCTTCTCCTTGTGCCCCTACATGTCCCCTCTGTCCATTAAATGCCCAACCCAACCTTTCCTGTCCTTTATCCCAAATAATTTCATCTACCTCCCAAGTTCCTGTGCACCCAGCCCTTCCACAGAGCCTCAAACTTTGTCACACACCTGCCCCAGTCCCTCACACACATACTCCATCACACTCAGAGCATCTCTCTCATCCTATTTTCTCCTATTCATCCTAGCCTCCCACTCCCTGCACAGCATGCTCTCCTTCTCCCCATGCATTGCCTCTCCCATTTCCACTCTGCGCAGCACCAGTTCCCACAGGCACCATCCCTATCCCTTCTTTGCACCACATGGTTTCCCACGGTCTGTCCCTTACACTCTTTGCACAGCACCCTTTTCCCTATACATTGTCCTTATCTCCCAGCAGTGTCCTTGTCTCCCCTATACATTGTCCTCACTCCCCCATGCAGCATCCCCATAACCCCACCTTCTGGCACAGCATCTCCTCATCCCTTTCCCATTGCCCACTGCTCCCTCAGCCCCATGCCCTGTCCCTGACCTCACAGAATCACACAATCAATTAGGTTGGAAAAGACCTCCAAGATCCCTGAGTCCAACCTGAACACCACCCTGCCAACCAGACCATGGCACTGAGTGCCACGGCCAGCCCTTCCTTACACACCTCCAGGGACAGCGACTCCACCACTGCCCTGGCCAGTCCATTCCAATGTCTAATCACCCTTTCCATGAGGAAATTCTTTCTTATGTCCAACCCAAACCTCCCCTGGTGCAGCAGAAGACTATGTCCCTTCATCCTGTCACTTATTCCTTGGGAGCAGAGCCCGACCCCCACCTTGTTCCACCTTCCTGTCAAGGAGTTGTGGAGCGCTAATGTGCCTCCTGAGCCTCCTCTTCTCCAGGCTAAACACCCGCAGACTTGTGCTCCAGACCCTTCCCCAGCTCCGCTGCCCTTCTCTGGATGTGCTCCAGCCCCTCAATGTCCTTCCCGAACTGAGGGGCTCAGAACTGGGCACAGCACTCAAAAGTGTGGTCTCACCAATGCCCAGCACATCATTGCCCTGATCCTGCTGGCCACACTTTTCCTGACAGAGGCCAGGATGCCGCTGTCCTTCCCATCCACCTGGGCACGCCTTGGGCTCACGTTCCGCCGCTGTCATCAGCACCCCCAGGTCCTTTTCCGCTGGGTCGCTCATCCCTGTGCTCTGTCCCTGTCCCCTCTGAACTCACGCTGCTCGCAGCCCCTTCCCCTTTCCCTGTCCACGCCTCTTCCAGCTGCCTTTCCCTCCTGCCATGTGCCCCATCCCCGCAACACCCTCTCTTCATTCACCGCCCGCTATTCCCCACACCCCGTTCCCTGTGCCCCCGGGCCCCCTCTCCGCACACCGCCCCCCGCCCCGCCCTGCCCCGGCCCAGCCGCACTCACCGTCCAGCGACACGAACTGCCCCACGGCGGAGGAGCCGGCACAGCCCGGGACTGCCCGGCCCGGGCCCGCGCAGGCCTCGCTCGCCGGCACCGGCACGGGGAGGAGCGCGGCAGCCGCCGCCACCCCGCCCGCTCTCGCGAGGCTTCGCCCGCCGCTCCCGCCCCTCCGGAGCGCTCCTCCCTCACGGCCCGCGCTGGTCTCCGTGCCCCCGGGATCGGGTTCTGTGCCGCTCCTGTTCGCTGGCAGCACCTGGCTCCGGCCCTCTGCCGCGGGCAGGGATGCTTTCCACCGGGCCAGCTTGCTCAGAGCCCCATCCAGTCTAGCCCTGAACACTCCCAGGGATGCGGCATCCACAGCTTCTCTGGGCAGCCTGTGCCTGGGCCTCAGCACCCTCTGGGCATCAGTCAAATTCATCAATAAAATTCGTCAATCAAATTCATCACTTAAATCTATTCAATCGTTCTGTAATGTTGAGATGAAAGTTGTTGAGGCGTTATGAATTTGTTTCATTACAGCAATTCATGCCCTGCCTGACAAAGGCAGCATAAAGTTGAAGTCTGCTGGTTTGGAACTCTTTGTTTATTATTGTAGAATTACAGAATGGTTTGGGTTGGAAGGGACCTTAGAGATCATCTCGTTCCAATCCTTCTGTCTTGGACAAGGACACTTCCCACTATCCCAGGTTGCTGAGAGCCCCGTCCAGCCTGGCCTTGAGCACTCCCAGGGATGGGGCAGCCACAGCTGCTCTGGGCACCCTGTGCCAGGGCCTCAGCATGGCCACAGTAAAGAATTTTTTGCTAGTATTTAATCTAAACCTACTGTGTCTCATTTTGAATCCATTCCCCTTTGTCCTGTCACTACATGCCCTTGTAAATAGTCTCTCTCCATCTTGTAGGGTCCTTTCGGGTACTGTAAGGCCACAATTAGATCACCCCAACACCTTCTCTTTCCCAGGCTGAACAATCCCCATTCTCCCAAGCTTTCCACATAGGAGAGGTGCTCCATCCCTCTAATTGTCTTGGTGGCCTCCTCTGGACTTACTCCAAGGGGTTGATGTCCTCAATGATTCATAGAATCACTGAATCAAAGAACTCAGTTTTCATCCAAGTTATTGCTCACTTTAGCACTCAACCCACATGTAGCAAATCAGCACCATAACACAGATGGGAAGGAAGCTACAGAATAGCTGCTGTAGCTGGATATTTGTACAGACTTCCATCTGTCGGCTTTTGAAATGCAGAATTAATTAACAATTAATGCAGAAGCAGAATTTTTCACCTTGTAAAACTCAATACTGTCAGTATCTGTCTTCCACCAAATGACTCAGATGCAGCCAGGGATCGGGTACAGACCTCCATGAACTGATTGGGTACAAATATACCATTTGTACATGGAACAAAATGACTTGTTCATTTAGAGGCACACTGGGGCATGCACTAGAGCAATACCTTTCCATCCAGAAAACGGAGCATCTTATAGGCCTCAAATTATGTCATTTGCCTAAAAATCTCACGGTTCTGTGCTTTGGAAAAGAAAAATAGCTATATCATAATGGAGATTGTACCACTATGTACACAGTTGGTCTTTCTTTTTATTCTATTGACAGAGGTGTATTTTTTAAAATAAGAACATTGGGTCTCTCCAAATTCCTTCTGCTTCTGGAGGTTATTTCCTTCCTGAAGTTCCTCCTGCTGATGATGAGGTAATGAGTGCCACAGTAGCCAAGCATGATCTCACAAAATTATACACTGTGCAGATAATATCAGGGGAAGATTATATTCCTGATAAACAATCCCTGATAGGCTCTGACGAAGGCCAGCACAAACACAAAAAATCCTGCAGTGGGCAGTTTTGAAATATCTTTCCATTAAAAAGTTTCTTTTTACCTCACTCAGGTAGAGACTAATATAGTCCTGTCCTGTGAGGACTTAGGTTTTACATCCCTTTCAAAATTGCTGGTGCTTCAGTTAAGTGTTGCAAGACATTTTTGAGTCCCAAACAAGTTCAGAGTGTTTCACTTTGAATGTGAGCAGCAAAGGACACTTGTGAAAGCCTAAGATACAGCTGCTGTCCAAAGAAAGGATCTCATTTAAAGTCATACTAAAGAAAGATGTCTGTTCAATTTTTATTCTTCTTATAAGGTGAGGTTAATGATGATTAAACAAAATGGGTTCCCAGTCCAGGAGACTTCAGTCTTTGCCTCCCACTCATGAAAACTTTCATATACAATACTCCTTAAATACTTCAAACATTTCCATAGGACTGTTTTCCACCAGCCAAAATATAAGCAATTTTTCACCTCTTCAAGTTCTTTTCCCATTCTGCTTGCTAGAGGATTAACTAAACTTCTTTTGACTTATAGCATTGAGCCTGCTGAATTAATAACCCCTAGGTTGGTTTATTTAGGCTAAAAAAATAACCTTTTAGTAAATTGTCCTAAGCCTGAGAGTAAGAGCTGGTCATTAAAAAATTTGTATTGACAAAGCTCCTTTCCCTGCATTATTTTGTCCTTTTAGTTAAGAGGAGGAAAGGACCTGTTTTCCATATCACCTACTCATGTTTAGTATCTCTTATTTTGACTCCTAAGTGTGCCAAAAAGTGATGATCAGGATGTCTCTTAGCCCAGACCGACCAATTTCCTTCCTGCCATGCCTCCAAAAACATCAAATACAATCCACCTGTGGGTATATGGTTTTGACATTCAGTTGTTGAGGTTTCAAAGAGAAGATCTGTTCTTATTTGCTTGAAAATTATATATATATATTTTTCCCTACTGCTCTTACAGCATCAGGAAGAATGGAAATGGGCTGTACAAATCCAGCCTGGAGTGTGAGGGAATGCTGCAAACGCTGTGCAGCACAACAGGAATATACCAGGGCAAGCTGATGAACTTCCACAAGAGACAGATGTGAACATTAAGATTGGAAGCAGATACTTCAGTGCCATATGACAAAAAAGCCAGAGCTTTTCTGGCTTTTTGGTTGTAACTCAACTTTCTGGGCACTGAGTTTCCCAACACACCAGCCTGTATGGGAAATATTTTCATATTTGAGGTGAACAAAACTTAATCCTTTAATATGATCTGCTTCTGTGAGTATCCTCAGCTTTCTGGCATTTCAGCTGGAATTGTTCCTTTTAAAATCATGCCCAAGAGCATTGATGAAGTCACTCAAGAACTTTGAAAATGAACAAAATTTGAGGCAAAAGACAAGCAGAGGAAGCCTTTTTTGGTTTTGGACAGTCCAAGATAAGGCATAAACTACCCACTCAACCTGAAAATTTACACTTTGGAGATGAAGTCATAGGGTTACTAGACAGAGGGGTGGAAAAAATGATTTCGAAATGAGTTAGCCTTATAAGGTGATAGCAAGTGGACACTTTGGGTTTTTGTCTGTGTCAGTTCAAACTGTAGCTTTCGGCTACACTGGTGATGGACACGAGGGGGCACCCAAGGAAATGAAATCGTCGAGGAGCTGCAGTGCTCCCAAAGTTCAGGCTGATTTTCCATGTTTTCCTTTTTTTTTTTTTTTTTTATACAATAGTGCATTTTGTAATTATTTCCGCACATTGTTTTCATGACGCTCATCAATGAATGGTAATTGAAAAAGCTTTGAGGGGAACATTCCGAGAAGAAAAGATTTTGGCATCTACTAAATCACATCACTGCTGACCAGAGCTAGCACTTGATGGCTCATCAAGATTCCTGAGTATGTGGCAGAGACCCCGTGGCTTTCCCAGTTACTTTCCCAGGATCTGTACCTGGTACAATTCGTAGTAGATAAGGACAGCAGAAAGCACAAATTCTGTCACTTAGAATATCTGCTCAGAAATTAGCAGAGGAAAAGTCCAAAGGTATTGAGCACAAAGATCCAGAAGCTACCACCACTTGAGGAAGTCTCTCACAAGCTGGAAGCTGTGAGCAGCTATTTTGCTCTGAACATCTGCCCCTGCCAGCACACCACTTGAAGATGTATGAATTGTCAGTGGGTACTTTTAAGAAGGATGTAAGCAAAGTAAAAATAGATGTGTCCTCCTGGTTTCTAGCAATGTGCAACTTAAGGATTCACCAGCAGAAGGCTCATACTCACTAGCAGACTTTTTATCTCTTTAATAATTTTTTTTGTCTGTGTATGCTTTCAAGAACTACAACATCTGGTGCTTTGAGGTGTATCACAATATAGCTGGGTAGCAAGTGAAAAAGTTTAAAAATGGTCTAAACATTTCACTTGGCAATCCTGTTCTTGAGCTACAGTCAGTGATGAAGTGTTGCTCCCATCACACTTCTTTCATATCAGTTGGGATTTTTTACTCCTGTTTTAGAGCATCTAAAAGAAAGAGCATCTCTTTGTCCAGACAAATAATGTGATGCTGATCAGACAGCCCTAATAGAAAATAATCTGTTCAGGGAATAATTTAACAGGAAACCCTTTTTAGTGAAAAATAGGTTATGTTCTGCAGTGAATAACTGCAGGTCTCCATCACTTGGGGATATAAGCACAGGCAAATATTCCTGTAGAAATGCAATTCTGATTGTCTGCAGCTCTTTTATTTTGAAGACAAAACATATTTATTAAAACATCAATGGATTCATCACTCACCATCAGAGAACCATTCCAGTCAGCCAACTGCCTGTTTAAGCAACTGTCTGCATAAGGAAATTGAACTAAAATGAGGAAATTCCAGGTTACAGGTCTCATTTTTATGTGTACACTTGATACTTTAATGCAAATATGTCTTCTGTATAGCCTAAAAATGATGCCTTCAATAAGTATTGATGTGCAAGGGTAAAAAAACCAGGAACTTGACACTGTGTGGTTCTGCATACTCAAACACATAAGCAAACCACAGATCTCACAGAGTGTTCCTATTGTTTTCCCAAATTTGGAACCGAAAGCCAGAAATTCAGACTAAATGACTTGGAAGCATCAAAAAGTAAATATGAGCCTCCTTTAGTTCTGAAGAATAAGTTTGAAAAAATAGCTGTGGAGTGGTTCATCATCTGCTTGAGGATTGAGGTAAATCGAGTGCAGTAAATTCAGTGCAGTTAAAAAGTATATATACTATAAACTCTGTAAAATACCTAAGATAGTGCTGACTATTTATAAATTATACCTGGCAAGTTGCAAATAGGATTAGGAGAAAAGACACAGCCACTTAACCAGAAGTTCACTAGCGTTGAGTCAGGACATTAAAAACCCTGCTGTCACCAGGCACTATTAATAATTAAACTCTCTTTATTGGCATTTCTTAGGCAGAAGTCTGCCATGGCCAGAATGGGTGT